GGCGGGGAGAGGGGAGGGTGTGGAACAGAGGAAGGCAAAGGTGGGTGAGGGGAGGCTCATCAGAGCCAGAGGTGGGCAGCCTCAGACTGGGGCCAGTTAGAGAGCTGGCTGATTTCGGGAGCAGATCTGAGGAGGGGAAGGACCAGAGTGATGGATTGAGCACCAGAGATCTGGGGCTCGGGGTCGGGCAGCTGGGGGCCAACGCCCACCCACACTGACCAGCCAGGGCGCCTGGGGCGGTCACCTGGTCACCTGCCCTCTTGCACAGTTCATGCTGCGGGCCCAGGCCCCGTACAGAGCAGACCCCCAGGGGTCACAGGTGCTCTGCTGGCCGCTCTCCCGCAATGGGTACCAGTGAAGGGAACGAGCTGTCTCCTTAGATGCTCGGTGGGTGGGATGCGTGTGACTCACCTCCGGCGATGACCTTGGGCAAGGTCCTTAGCTCTGTCTGCCCTCTCCTTATAGGCGAGATGGGCATATGCGAGCACTCGGCCCAGAGGTCACGGTGAGGAATGAGAGACGCTGAGCTGACATCACTGAGCCAATGTCACTGTCTCCATTCCTGAAAGTGTCCCTGAGCCGCAGGGGCCAGAGAACAGCCCCACATTCCGGGGGGGGCGGGGGGGGGGACTGAGGCTCAGACAGGTCCAGCAACGTGCCCAACACCAATGGGTCCAACTGGACTCTGTGCCTTCTCTTCCATCCCCGCCCCCCACCCCAGTGTGGGACCGGGAGCAGCAGGATTTGCTGTGGGGATGAGTTTGGGCCCCTGGGCTGCCCGAGACCAGGGAGCGGCCTGGAGAAGGAGAGGAAGATTCTGACTTAACGCCGCACATCACTCATGTCCCACGGCTGCAGCACCTACGCAGCTGCTGCCCGAGCCGCACAGAAAGCCATCGAAGTGGCAGGGGGAGTGAGGGTGAGGGGAGGGCGGCAGAGGGGGGGTCACCCCCATTTCCCAGAGGAGGAAACTGAGGGTCAGGGGATGTGAACCTGCTGGGATCACAGGCTACGGAGGAGGACACAGCTCCGGCCCTGTGTCTGCCTATCTCCAAGGCCTCTCTCCCTGCACGCGAGGGCGGACAGGGGCCCGGGCAAGCCGCCCACCCAGAACAAACCCACCAAGGATGAGGCCCAGGGGGTGAGGGAAAGGAGCACGGTGTCCCGGATGTGGGGCGGCGGGACCTGCCACGGCAGCGAAGCCCTGGCTGTGGCCTCTCCCTGCTGTTTGCCTGGTGGGACCCGTTCCCTGTCTGTCAACAGCAGCGTCACCCTGGGCAACGCCAGAGGTCCCGAGGTTCTGCTGATCCGGTTTCCTGCTGGCAAAGCCTCGGGCCGGGAGCCCAGCCATGCCTTTCTGTGCCAGTGGGCGCGTTCTCTAAACACCTTCAGCCAGCGACCTGGGGACCGGCTCCTGGCACTCTCTCAGACGGGCAGAACCGGAGGGACAAGCAGCAAGCACAGATGTGCTTCTTCTGATGAAGGAGTCTCCTCGCTCCCTCCGTCCCTGGCTAAGCCCGATGCACGGGCCTCCCTGGCGGACAAGCCAGCCCAGCCAGGGGCCCCAGGCCCTTTGGAAGGCTCAGGGCTTCTGCATGTGCTCATCCAATGAGCATCCCACTTGGGACCAGGAAGGAAAACAAGCCCAGGACCATGCAGATCCAGGCCGGGCCCGAGCTGGGAGTTGGGACCCACCTTCGGTGCCTTTGACGTTGAGATAACATGTCTCCGAGAGACCCGACCCCGTTCCACTCGGGACAGTGTGTGTGGCTGTCCTCGGCCTCCTGGGTAGACCAGAAGGCCCCCTGCATCCTGAGCCCCGGACATGGAGCTGAAGGGTCCATCTGCCTCCCTCATCCACCTGGTGCTTTTCATTCTGGTTCGGCAGCACCCAGCACTCAGCACCCAGCACTCAGCACCCAGCGGGCAGAGCAGACGTTCAGGAAGGCCTTGCTGACTTAGCCTGATGGTTGTCAATCTTATTCCTCAGAGTGAGGCCCAGCCCATTAAAAACCCACAGAGCATGGCCCGAACCAGCCCCACTGGCTGCCCAGACCCGCCCGGGGCGCAGGTGGGCTCAGGGGACCACATGTGCGCTCTGCTGGTCCCCCCTGCTACCCCCCAGCCCCTCAGCCTCCTCCGCCTCTTCAGCATCAGGCTACTCCGCCTGGAATGTGACTGTTAAAAGCCCAGGTGGGAATCTCCCACGGACTAAAGCTTTGTCTTCTCCCCAAGGTTCCTCCCGTCCCCTCAGGTCTGAGCCGGAGCCCGAGCCCCTCGCAGGAGGAACCTGTGACCCTCATTATGTGCGGACAGCCCACAGCCAGAGCTGAGGAGCCAGCAGGTGAGCGTTTCCCAGCCAGACACAGCGGTTTCTTTGGATGGATTCTCCGTTCATTGGCTGGACACATGCTTACGTTTTGAGAGTCTCCTGAGATGGACCCTGGGGATAAGCTGTAAACGGAGGAGATAGGGTACCGTCCCCTCACAGGAGAGTAAAGGGGCAACTGGCTCCAGAAACGCTGGGGTAGGTGGTGCTCCTGGCGATGGCTCACCTGCTGAGGGGGCGGGGGGAAGGG